TCTGTCAAAATTGACTGCCTTTCCAGAAATACATTATAACGAGACAAAGGTGAAACAGATGGAGGGGGTGGCATTTTTATTTTTATTCACAGCATTCAATCTAAACATTTGTTTCTTCTTTCAGCCACATGGATTATCCGTTGTCATGACAGCGCCTGCAGTGTTTCAGTTTACTGCACCCATGTGTCCTGAAAGGCATATTGAAGCAGCAGAGTTATTGGGTAAGAGAAGAAAATAGGGCAAGAAAATAGACATCTTCACTGTAAAAAAATATTAGACAACAGGCCAGTACTACTGTAAAAGCACTTATATTCACTATTTTGCTGTTTTGAGCATATTCACTGTTTTAATTTGTCAAGGAAAAAAATGAGTTTTGTTGTTATTTTACATGTTCACGTAGATTTAATTTAGCGAATTTCACATTTCGGGGATTTAAACGTAAACAGCGAAATTAAAACCTATTGAATAATTAATGCATTTACAGTACCTGATGTACTGGTATTCACATCACACAATTATATATAGAACCAAAAATTGATCTGTTTTGTGAGAAAGACAATCTGGAATTGACTAAGAATTGTTAAAGCAATTTTGTTTCTTCCTTAGGTGCGGATGTTAAGAATGTGAAAAAAGAGGATGCTGGTCGTGTTCTGTCAGAAACAGTGCGTCAGTTTATGTATGATTTGAACATAGACGATGGTTTAACCCAATTAGGTTTTAGTACTCAAGATATCCCTGCTTTAGTGAAAGGAACACTACCACAGGTATACAAAGGCTGAATTTGTTATTGTTTATCACATCTCACTGTTGTTACGTACGTTGGTCATGACCATAATATTGATGATGCCAGAGCCGATCAGTACTATGGTCCTGACTACCATCATAAACATGTTATTATTTAAATATCAACGTAAGACTCTTGATTCCAGTTGCCGTAATTCTATAGTGCATAGAGCCACACCTGTTTTTGAGCTTCTCTCTTTTTTTAATAGTTTTTTTGTGCCAGGCGACAGTTCTGGACATTGAGTGTCACTGTTGGCTCTCCTGACTTTTTTATGTATGTGCAAATTGCAAGTGCTAGTGCTGACACATAGTGCATTTTGCCACAGAAGTCATATTCATGTTTGGGACTACATGACAGGGCTGTGTGGCCATCTCTCTAAGGCGCATTCGTTAGTGAATGAATCGTGGCACACTCACCCAGGGTAGGGGTTCAGCCTAAGGTAGGATTTGAACTTTGGTCTACCGATCATGAGTCTGAAGCGACAACCAGTGACCAGTGAGCTTCTTTACTCTTGAATCGCATCAAATCACATGATTAAGGCCACATTTTCCTGGCATGTGGAACAAGTTGATTTAGTCCTACTGTGAAAATATTTTATTTTGGCTGTTTTGTATGAAGTTTATTTTCATTGATTTTCAATGATTTTCTACAAAGACAATACTAATACATAATATCATACATATAAATCCCCACTACCATAATTAGGGGTTTTTATGTCATCGTAGCTTTACATTATCACATAATGTAAATTTCTATTCACAAAACAATTCATTTCAACAAAAAGCTCCAAATTCAACCATTTTTTTTAATAATTCTGATGGAATTCCGATGGAATTCTTTTCTAAAATGTTCAGGATTGTCAATATCTAAATCAAATTTTATCTTCTCTTTATAGCACAGAGTTACTAAACTGGCTCCAAGACCACAGTCAGAAGAAGATTTATCTAAACTATTTGAGAATTCCATGAAAGTCTACTAAAACCTTGAGAGAATGAAGTTTGTAGTGACAATTCTGATATGTCAAATATTTTCAGTCCTCGGTTTAAGCAATATTGTAAACAGAAATATATTGAAATATTGGACAAAATATTTTTATGAAGTGAAAAAAAATTGCATATATATCATTTTTATCTTAGTGAAATTAATTAATAAATACTAATTATAATAAATACTGTATTGCAACTTCTTTTCTGGGTCTGAAAGTTTATCTTCATGAAAATTATTTTGGTGCAAACTTTTGCATTTATGATTCCTGAGTGTAGCTTTTAAATTGGCCAGAAGCTTTCCTATTCAGAATGGAAATCCCTGGGTTTCTTTGAAATCCATTCAGTATTGTTTTCGACAAAACAACAGCTAAAAAATAGTCTGCAAACCAAGACTGTATTTTCAATATCACACCCCCCAATCTCCAGAGGCAGCAAAAAAGTAGCTCATTTGCAGACTACAAATTTTATTTTGGTAATAACTATCTGGAATATACTGATAATTTCCGATTTTGCGTTTTAATATAAGATTTGTAGACTCTCCCATTTCTCTATGCTAAAGATTGCCCATGTTTTGCTATAACCAGAAATATATCGACTCCATAAATGAATTATTGATTTGAAGGCGTTCAATAAGGATAGGACACCCACACAAGCAATATTACTTTTTAACAAGCAAATCAGATACACTATGTTTAAGACTATCTTGATAATTTATTAATTTTAAAATAATAAGAGTCAAATACAGTTATTGACTATCAGATTTTAGATCAAGCCATTACAATTGTGGAATTGGAACATGCCCTTAGTCGGTTAAATGCAAATAAGACAGCTGGTATTGATGGTTTATCGCCGGAAATATTTAAGCATATTTCTATGATTTTTAAACAATTACTTGTTAAACTTTTCAATACAATAATTAATACTGGTATATTCCTTCCACAATGGGTGCATGGTTTAATTATTCCTGTCTATAAGAAGGGTGAAAGAGATTCAGTTAATAACTATAGAGGCATTACATTATTGCCTTCGATTACAAAAGTTTTCAGTGATATTATATATCATAGACTGCTTAATTGGGTCAACTTGCACTATCCTATTGTGGAAGAACAGACTGGTTTCCGTAAAAATTATTCATCATTTGACAATCTATTCGTATGTTTCTGTATCATGAAGCAGAAAGGGGTAAAAAGTGTTGGGCCCTGAATTTAAAAATGTTACTTCTTTCTTATGGTCTGGGTGAGGCATGGTACAACCAAGGGGTGGGGAACTCTGAATACTTTGTTAAGCTTTTCAAACAGCAATGCTTGGACATTGATATTCAAAATTGGCAAAGTGGACTCGAGCTATTTCAGAAGCTGTGCTTATATAGAAAATTTAAATATATATTTGGTCAAGAGAATTATTTAAAACAGTCCAAAAAGACTGTTACCTAAGAATTTCTGCCCATTGTCTACATATTGAAACTGATTCCAAAATTCCATAATACACGCACAGAAAGAGTTTGTATTTTATTGTAATACCAATTGTGTAGAGAACGAGTACCATTTTTGCATTATCTGTCTGTCCGTTTTACCAATAGTTGAGATCTAAATACATCCCAAGTTATTATACACTTCCCTCACCCGAAAAATTTATATCACTATTACAATTACAAAATGCAGTAATCTTGCGTAACATTTCTAAATTTATTTTTCTCGCCACAAAAAAACGTAATACAATTATTTTGGTCTGACAGTTCATGTTCTTTTCATATTTTCTTGTTCTTTTTCAGTCACTGTAAAATGACATTGTCCTCTGTAACATGTTATGTAATTACAATGAGTATACCATGAGGCTGGAGGCCTACAGTATTATGAATAAATTTATTTATATATATTTGTAATCATAACGTACGTGATTAATAACACTAGAGATACACTGTTCGTGTACAGGTCTAACTTAGAACGAAATGTAATGTATTATATAATGGTTATAATAAATGGTCATATATTGCCCCTATGTTTAATTACCTACCGGTCAGTCAAAATGACCATTTTGAAATGTAGGCATTAATCTGCGATTCAGCCGACGACAGAAATCTAGGTTAGCGGAAGCCCCATGACCTGATAGATTTTCTTCCACGTCTCGCCCATACCATCCTGCCCTATGATCACGTCCGTTTTTCTCCGCACCGAGTGTGCATTGTAGCAAACCATTGCGATTCAGTCTCAAGTTTTTCGACTCAGTTTTCTGAAGAAGCTGTGAACCGTTGGGAACTGTAGATGTAGTGGCTGGTAGGATATCACTGGTCATTCGTTAGCTATACTGTCAATGATTCTTATTCATATTTGCTTTAAAAACGAGAGCTTGGTTTTCGTGACTTACAATCTAAAAATCTTTTGAAACTGTCCAAAGAACGTTGCAATTCATGTTTAAGCAGCTCTACCCGATGTGATGTCAATTAGTATGCATTGCTAGAAGGCTTTCAGTAACGAGTTCTGCTCTTATAAAATTTGAAATTAGATGCAATATACACCAGGATTCTGATCCTTGAGTGACTTTTAAACAGGACTTTTAAACAAGCAGCCTTTCGGCTGAGATAGCTCCGCTGTTAGCAATGCACATTGCAATTAAAGAACAGAAAATATCATTAGAAAATGAACATTATGTATAGTATCAAAGCAATCCTGACTTGCTGTTTTCACCAAAAATATTCATCAAAATTAAATAATTGAAGATATCACCACAAAGTGAACAAATCTGAGAGGTCCACATGTAGTACCTATATGTATAATATCAAAACCATTGGACTTGTGGTTTTTAAACAAGAAGTCAAAAATATTACTTTTTACCAAAAATATTCACCAAAATTAGAAAATTAAAGATATCATTACAAAATTAACAAATCTGAGAGAGGTCCACATGTAGTACCTATATATGTACCGGGTAATATCAAAGCAATTGGTCTTGAGGTTTTTAACAAGAAGTTGAAAACATCACTTTTTACCAAAAATGACAAAAATATTCACCAAAATTAGAGAATTGAAGATATCATCATGAAATGAACAAATCTGAGAGAGGTCTACACCAAGTATCAAAATATTCAGGCTTGTAGTTTTCAAGAAAAAGTCGAAAAAGTAAAACATTGACACTGACGACGGACAATCACTCGTATGATAAGCTCCGCTCGACAAAGTCGACAGCGGAGCTAAAAAAACACAATTTCTATACAAAATAAGACTAAAGCGGAAGTGCATTTTCATATTCATTTTATTTCACACCAAGTTATTTGATAGATACACTTGACTTGTGTGATGATTCTTAGATTTTCAACTCTTCTCCACCCACTGTAAATAACCGCATAAGGAAATAATACAGTTTTAAAGCCACTTACAAGTAAAATACCAGACACATTTTAATTGCAAGTTTAAACACAATGTAGTGGATAAATTGTATCATTTCCCAATTATTTGTAAAAACTTTTCTGTTTTTTCATACAACACAGGAAAGTAAACATTTCATTCAGGAAAGGGTAAATAAAATGATTTTTTTTTTTTTGTAATTACACATGCCGAAATTCGAAAATTGACAGCCACTGTTTCCTCTAAATCAGTCCTGTATTTCAGACTAATGAAAAGCATGTTGAAAACATGGCTTCTACACATCTGAAACCCAAAGACTATGAAAGAACCGTCAGAATCCTCCTGAATGAGTTGATAAGACACGTCAACGTTATTTTTAGTTTCCTCTGCTGTATGTCTGAAAAATCTAAAACTACTCTTAACATTAGTATTATACATGAAGACAACAAATAACATAATGATTATTAATCTAACAGGACCTGAAATGCCCAAGAAGTCAACCCTTGGTTGAACACCCTGCCACTGACTGGAAAAGGTGCAAGATTTGAACAGATTTTCAGGTCTTGCACGAATAAAAAATAACTTCTTATACCCCTTCACATGAATCATGCAAAATAACCACAGTAGTTTCAAAACTAAGGTCGGATTTTTTAAAATATTAAAAAATAAAAAATAATTTATACATGAAGCAGATGTGGCATTGGATCCATGACAAGGGGTTAACAAATAATCGCTTTATGAGAAAGAAACAAACAAAAAGTCAGTTTACATCATTTTAAATCGTTACAGAAATGAAAACATTGCAAGACAATGAAGATGGCTCAAGATTAAATTTTCCAATTGTGCATGGGTCCAGCAACGCATTATATACAGTACATTATTTTAAGCTTAAAATAAAATTCTACCATATTAATTTGGTTATCGTAAATGTGCCATAAATTACTTGGACACTATGATTTAGAAATCGATAAAATGATACACACCTTAGAATTAATGGTGATAAAAAAACTGACTTGATAATTGTCTACTCATAAACGATGACATTTTAGAAAGACTGGTCCAAAGTTACACAAGACCAAATATGGACATTCATTCATTCAATGTTCTCCTTTTACCTTAAGGACAAACGTGCCATTATTTGGACCCTAATATTTTTATTACATGCCTCTTGGTTGACTTTTCTAGGCAGTCAGATATAATGGTTATCAAAATCCAGTCAAATGTTTGATCAACCGTTAGCAGCATAAGCCATGGGCATTACAAGCGACAATGGTCAACACAAACTTCAAGTGACTGCAAAATTCTTATTCTAAACCACATATCGCATTTTGATAAAGGCATGTAATAATAACAAAATAAGAATAAAATTGTATATTATTTATAACCTACCCTAACTTGAAATATTTTTTTAAAAATTATTTTGTATATTTTTTCATCTTTTTGAAAGAAGCTTGGTTAACTTGTTTGTTTTTAACCAACTATAAAATCGGAAAACACACACTAGAAAATTATGAGCTTAATAAATGAATTAATTTCACAAGTTATTCAATATTTGGGCCAGTCTTGCATCATTTTGTAAAACCTACAAAAATCTTGTACAAGTTTTTGATTCATTTTATGAATCAAAAAAAAAATAAAACATAAAAAAAAAATATATCTAAGTTTGTCTTAGAGTATAGGTAATTGTTGTCTTCAGTATTTAACACTGGGATGAGGCGTGACCATCTTACGCCTCAGTCCCAGATGGCTTTCCCAGAATTGTCTTTTTGTCCAACGAGTTAGCAGTTTTCTGATCCCTTGTTTCATCAGTTCTTATGTCCGGTTTCCTGTATAGAGAAAACAAATTGAAAAGTCAACAGGGCACTGGTTTTAGTTTGCGCATGTATGATTGCTTTTTTAAAGTCATAATCAAAAAAGAATTCTGAAAATTATATTTTAATCTCTATTTAGCACCTTTAATAATGAAGCCAAGTATGCAGGGTATGTATGTATGATACATGAATCCAAATCACTAGGGGTAAAATTTTATGTTGTGAAAGTATTCAGCACTGAAACACAAAGAATGGCGACATCAACCAATGAATGATATAACCATGGACAAGTCATTGTCAATGACACGTCCCCGTTCCGTTCATATTTGAGTGGCATATACATTCAAAGCAGATCATGACCGAAATGCACCTGCATATGTACAACACATTGTACTAAATCTGAACAAAATCCATGCATGCATGACTGAGATCCGGTTCTGGAATTGTGAAAATACGTGATTTTAATGCATTTTCGGCCTTAAAATGGCCATCATTCAGCTATTGCTAAGCGGATCATGAAACAAATGCACATATCTATTTGTGACATGATGCACCATGTGTGTGTGAAGTTTGAACTTGATAAATCCAGACATGTCTTGGATACGGATCCAGAACTGAATTCTTTAAGAAAATGGCCGCCAGTCGGCCATTTCGAACTTGATCCG